ACATTATAAATATAAAGGTAGGCCCAATAGTGGACAACATTCGCGAATGTTCAAGAAAAGATAGACGGTCCCCAGTGCAGCTGCTAAAACAGTGACCATTCCAAAAGCCATCGTTTTTTTAGAGTAAATAATAACATCGGGGTCTTTTTGTCAATATATTTGACGTGAAGTAGTTTAATTGTGCACGTTAGCTAGATTGAGACATTGTTTGGCTGCTCTGATCAATGTGGTTGTCTCACAGCATGGCGGTGAAATCAGGAGAGGAGCGTCTGAAAGAGATGGAGGCTGAGATGGCTCTGTAAGTATCACTGTTAATGATGTTCTAGATGCAGTCGGACCCTAAGGTCACTAATAACGTAAAATGAGGGTCTGTATCGTGTGTGACTAATACACATTAACACCGATTACGTCTTAGTTGCTCACACCACAAGATCCCTTTTTTTGGTCATGTTGAACTTAGATTGTTTTTGGACCAGGTGTACCAATTCCCTCACAAATGTTCTTTGTATATAAATAAATAGCACTAAGCGGATATAAGCTACCCAGAAGGAAGGTTTGGGTTGATGCAAAAAATACCAATGTTTCTTCTACACAATATCAATCACTTTGGACATAAGATGAATGCGCCACACCTCTCATTAGAAGTCAGTACAAACTGAATTTGGTGTCACAGCTTTCAGAAGAAAATATTTCAAACCTTCAGCGACTAAAACCATCTGACATGATTCTATTTGCAGTCGAGGTCGCAGGTAATCAGCCCAGATAGAGCCCCCCCACACTTGTATGAATACCGGTCTGTCTCTGCAGTTTTGAGCAGGAAGTTCTTGGAGGTCCTGTGCAGGTGTTAGGCAGCCCACCTGTCATGGAGGGAGTACCCATGGCGCTCTCTGCCCCAGCGCTTCAAATGGTGCGGCCCATTATAGGCACCAACACCTACAGACAGGTATGTACCTCTCTAGTGTTGTCTGCATAGTGATGTACTACCCAAAATGCTCTTTGTTGAGTCATACATGTAAAGAAACCAATGGACGTCCTGTTTCTTAATTGCAAAATACTCCAAAACAGATTGAGAAACTAATTGTCCTATTTTTTGTGAACAACATCTGTCTTCTAATTTGGGTTCGCCACCTTTCGTCCTCTTTCGTTTAGGTTCAGCAGACATTGGATGCCAGAGCTGCTAGTTTTGTTGGTCCTCCACCACCAGTGTTTGCAGGACCAGGTGAACATAAACACAACGCAGGTCGCGCAGTAACAAAGCCGGTTATGATATTGATTTTGTATCCTTTTCATTTTATCCAATTCCGTTTTTAGTCTTCAAGGAGTGTTTCTTGTTTCAATTCAATTTCAGTTTTTTCAGAAATGTCATTCTTAGATTTTGTATCATTTCCAGTTTAACAGTTTTTGGTTTGTTTTTGTTCAGAAGCTACATATTGCTATAAAAACAGTGTGTTGTATTTTTTATAATCATTTTAACTATTCAACCAATACAATGTCAGTTTAGTTTTTCTGCGTCTCCGCTCCACTAACTGTGTGACTTTGTGTCCGTTCCAGTCCCTCCGGTCCGTCCTCCCTTGCTGAGACCAGCCTTTGTCCCTCATATCCTGCAGAGACCTGGTCAGGTTCCTTCTAGAGCACAACTTTCCCTTCAAGTCACACACTCATGAGCTGTGATGTAAGATACAAACTTTTCCCCCTGCTTGATTCTCTGCTGTCTTTGTTGGGGCGTTTTGACAGTTGGACCGAGGATGCAGATGATGCGCGGTCCTCCAATGGCACCTCCTCTGCCCCGGCCTCCTCCACCTCCTCCCATGATGCTCCCACCTTCCATGCAGGGACAGTCACTTCCGGGTTCCTCTCAGCCCGTCCAGCACATGGGCAGCCCGCCTCAGGTCAGAGCTCACGGAGCCAAACAGCGACTGTCATGACTTCTTCCCTCAGTTACTCCTCTAATAAACGCAAAGAATAGCGGGTTAAACTCGATTTTTCTTTTGTTGTCGCCATTGTTCTAGTTGTGCCACAACCTGTCTAAAGTGCTCGCCGTGTCTTCTGTGTCTCACCAGGTCCGCAATATGGGCTCCATGCTGTCAAGCCCGCCCACAAGACAGGGGCCCCCGCCCTCCGTCAAACAGACGCCATCGATCTTCCAGGCGGCACCGACTGTCTACTCCGCTCCTCCTGCCCCGTCTGGACACAAAAGAGTTGACGTTCGAGCTCAGAGACAAGCCAGAATGGTAATTACACAGAGGGGGACCTGACGGCCATGGTGTGTTTTAAGAGGACATTGGAGGACGATAAGAAAATCTAGTCTTCATTTTTTAGATTTAGATAAAAACAAAAATAGCCCATCTGGCTTCAGTGGGGAAGTCTAAAATAAGCAAAGACAAACACTGGACGAGTTAGGAATATTAATCTGATCCACAACGTAAACACGACGGCCCGCTGGACATCCCGACTTCAGCCCCTTTTCCGTGTGATGAATAAAATCATCAGAGATTTGGGACAATTGTGATTTTCCTTCAAACATACGAAACGTAAAAGGAATCCGATCTCCTCAAAGCTGTCCGACAACCGGTCATCGAAACACACTTGGTTTAAACAGGTGACCCACCATCAGAGAAACAAAGTCCTACGGGTCCCGTGGCGATTTGAAGGCAGCGGGTGGCGCTCACTCTGCTGCCGCCTGAGCATCATGATCCCGTGTGTCTTCCAGGAGGAGCTGGCAGCGCGGGTCGCGGAGCAGCAGGCAGCAGTGATCGCAGCGGGGCTGCTGGACAAGAAGGAGAGCGAAGACAGCGGCAAGGTCATCGGGCCCAACATGCCTGAGCCCGAACCCGCCCACACCGAGGTACACGCAGCTACTGTGAAGCACCGCGGCTAGAAAGGATTCAGCAAGGCGGCCAAGTGGACAATGTTAACAATTATGTGTGATAGTCGAAGAACTCTTTTGAAAATGTATTAAATATTATATTAATAATGACTTTGATTGCATTTGGAGGATACGTTTGCAGGACAGCGGGAGTGGAAGTGGAAACCATTTCACAAGTTTAGGGAGCTCAATTTACAACGATGTCTGTTTGTGTCTCAGCCCGTGGAAAGTGCTTCGGAGGACAAAAAGAGAGCACGGGCGGAGAAGGTGAGGAAGTGTATCCGCACTGCAGCAGGGACCAGCTGGGAGGACGCCAGTCTGTTGGAGTGGGAATCAGGTACAAAGTCTCTCTGGGTGCAACGGAGGTGCAGGTTCTGGGAGTGACGCACATAACTCGTACCATCTACTGCTAGTTTGGGGGGTCTGAGGAGCGCGTAGATGAAAGCGCGCTTTGTGTAACGTCTTCTGCAGAGAAACGTAGCGGTGCTGCGTGGAAACCTTTCTTTCACTCCACACTACTACTTCGCTTCTGCCTGGAACAAGAAATCGTAATTTGATGAAATATCTCCAGTTTTATTTGTTTTTGACCAGCTGCAGGACAAAGGTAACGCTGTCCGAGTCCCGCATGCTCTTAACATCTCCCTCATCTGCTTTTCTCTGCTCGTTGCAGATGATTTCCGTATATTCTGCGGTGACCTTGGCAACGAAGTGAACGATGACATCCTGGCCCGTGCGTTCAGCAGATACCCGTCGTTCCTCAAAGCGAAGGTCCTCCTGCCTCCACTTCAATGAATTCTATCATTTCAGTTTTTCATTTGCTTTGTTTACACCTCTTTCAGCTATTGTACGGTTACTTACCAGTCATGTGAAGTGTTGGAAACACAGTATATAATATGTACAATATATACATACAAGTTTTCACAGCCTTTGCCATTACACTCAAAATTGAGCCCACTCTGGTATATTAAGCTGACATGGTTAAGAAAGACGCACACTGGCGTCACAGAAGCGCTGTGAACACTTTCCAGATGCACTGTATATAGAATATATATATATATATTCAGTGATTTATTTGTACAATTGATTTTAAGGAAGTCTTTTTGGTGACATGCGTACTCGCTGGAAACATTATTACTTATGATTATATTTTATTTAAGCAAGCCATCCGTCTCACTGTGTGCATCCTGGACAAATGAAATCCTCATGACAAATGTCCCCATCAGGTGGTGAGAGACAAGCGCACAGGAAAGACCAAAGGCTACGGCTTCGTTAGCTTCAAAGATCCAAATGACTACGTCAGAGCAATGCGAGAGATGAACGGTCAGTACACACACACACACACACACACACACACACGGAGGTTGCTCTGCTGACGGGTTGCTCTGTAACTGCTCTCATTCTGTATCCAGGAAAGTACGTTGGCAGTCGACCCATCAAACTGCGAAAGAGCATGTGGAAGGACCGCAACATGGAAGTGGTGCGCAAGAAGCAGAAAGAGAAGAAGAAGCTGGGCCTCAGATAGTGTGTGTGTGTGTGTGTGTGTGTGTGTGTGTGTGTGTGTGTGTGTGTGTGTGTGTGTGTGTGTGTGTGTGTTGCAGCCCAGTGGACATCATTGTGTGAGAGCCTGATTGGATCTCGCTGATCAGAAGACGTTCTAGATGTCGACTCTTTTGTTCTTCCTTAAATAAAACCATAATTTCTTAGTTGCTATGGTCACTGTTAATTTTACTAGACGTTAACCAGATTCTTTTTTTTTACAGTAATTGTACTGACTTTGATTCCTGTTCACTGTATTTCGGTATTAGTGGTTTCAAACCTTTTGAAAATGAGGTATTTTACAAGTCTGACAGTTGGCATTTATTCATACGAGGCTTTACATATGTGCAATATACCACACGCTGAAAGCAATAATGGTGTTAATCAGTTCAGATAAAGACAGGCTTCCTAAGTCGTGAAAAACCTGGAACAATCATGAAATTCTAAAATTGTTATTTTTGGGCCTGACATGAAAAATCATCCTTGTTGAATTGTAAACATTAAAAATCGACTCTTTAGGGGCCTAATTGAATAGTAGGGGAAACACTGTATGCTTTAGGATTCTCATTGTTTTCATATATACACAGATTTCACAATGTTTGGTCATGGAAATTTTATTTAGTCTTTGAATCCATTGATCATCACGTGTAAACGTGTCGATAACAGCAGGTCACACGCGGTCATCAAGCAGCTGAGGCACATTGAGGCTTTATTGTATCGGTAGGAAACTGCTGTGCCCAAAGCAATAATATGATTGATAACTAACCACACCTCTTTCGATTAAGACACTTTAATATTACAATTCAACATTGATTGTACATATTTGTGCTGAAGAAAATAGTCTCAACATTTCCAGTGAAGGCAGAAAAATAAGACGTTTTACATATAAATACATGACGCTGGAAAAAACAACACACGGATCCACCTGCTGTCAAACTGATCCCAACAGCTCCTCTGCAGCGGTTCGTCCGCTGAAGATGACGTCGTTGACCGACACGCCGTCGTAGGAGGAGCCGATCAGAGACAGCGAGAGGCTTTTGTCCCTTATGAAGCTGCGCATGGACTCTGAAAGGCAGACGGACCCACATTAAAACGCGGCCTCGCCGGGAATGTGGCGCTCTTCAGATGCAGCGTCTACTCACCCACTCTCCGGTAGTGTCCCTGATAGTACTGCGGTATACAGTCCTGACCAGAGGGAACACACCGCACACTTACTAATGATGATGGTACTATTTGGCGTTACTAGCAGGTGGTTCCGAGGTACCACGTATGTGCACTGTCCCGTCCTACCTTCTGTAGAGTCACCCGACTCCAGCTGGGCGCGCTGCTGACTCCCAGCTGGCGGCTCACTGCCTCGGTGGCTGTAGCCAAAAGACGCTCCTCTGTCACCGCAGCGGGGTCCCCGAACACTTCCTGGAACCAGGCGCCGCCCATCATCACCTAGGAGACACGGTGGAGGCCTGAGGTCAGAGGTGGTGTCTAACGACGCAGCTCAGTCTGACATCCACTCATTTTACACACGATCCCAATCTGCGCTCTCACACACTGAGTTCTGTCTCGTTGTCAAATCCTTGAGTATTTAAGGCTCTCAGGCAGATATTTTCCATAACTCTGCATTGGGTGCTGACTTAGTCCAAGGAAACTACCCACAAGTCATTGCAATGTGATGTTAGAAACGGGATAACCAGTGAAACCATGGAGACGTTAAAAGAGGTAAATAAAGAGGACGGCACACGTGTTCAGACTGTCATTAAAATACATCCATTTAAAACAATGAGGACTAAAAATGGAGAATAAATCAGACGATGTTTATTAACTTATTCATAAAATATTACATTTTTTGTCAGATGCCATTTTGACAAAAAACAGTAAAAGCTTATTTTAACTGACTTCTCATTTTATGAGGGAAGAGCCTGAAAGACGTTCAAATGAGAGACGTATTAAATAAATGCCCTAAATTCTAATCATAGTTTTTGATGTCATGGTGACGTGACTTGTTGCAGCTTTCCCACATTTACACCATTTAACGCCCTTCACAGTCTCTCACACTCAACCACTGAACAGGTGACGGACGGGGGGGATTAGGATTGTGCATTAGTGCAGCCGCAGAGCCGAAGGTCATGTGATCAGAGGCGGGTCAACATGTGAGTGAGTGAGCTACAGACCGTCAGTCTGGTCGTCTGTCCTTCCGGTCTGTTGTGTTGGGGGAAGGGGACGGAGTCGTAGACCACCCCGAGTAAACCCCGGTCCTCTGACGATGGCAGCAGGTGGCCAAACCCCTGTCAACAAACAACACAGTGTGTGTGTGTGTGTGTGTGTGTGTGTGTGTGTGAAGAGGGAATACAACGTGCTCGACCCTGAGCCAGGTGGGATTCATTCGGTTTTAAATACACGTTTTAATTCAAAAGCCCCATTGAGAATTTTGTGTGTTTGTCCGACTGCAGTTCTCACCTGTACAGGCAGGACGGAACCCTCGTACTCTAGATTTACCACAGCAACCGTTACCGTGGCGATGTCCTGCAGCAGCTGGATGAGGGGTTGACAGGAGGAGGAGGGCAGGATTGAGGAGAGGGCTGAGGGGAGAGAGAGGGGAATAAATATATATAATATAAGAAAAGGATTTATTATTATCTTTTGGTTATTTTTCTTGTGTTTATTAACTCAATAACAAGTTTGAATGTTTTGTTTTTATTTATTCATACACGTCGCTAACATAAGCTTGTTCCTTCTGCGTATCAGAGGACACGAGGGGGGAGGACGGATGTCCCCCAGAGTGCTTCCTTCTCTATTCCCATCATGCAACACAGCACATAACAGTGAACCACCACTTGCCTTTAGCAGGCAGTGCAGAGATGATGTGGTCAGCTGACATGACTCCATCCTCCAGTGTGATCTACACACACACACACACACACACACACACACACACACGTTATTGAAGCAGACATATATTCTCACAAGAATGTTAGAATCAAAAAGTTGAGCATGTTTTTTGTTTTTCCATTGGTCTTTCGGATATTCAGATAACCTCCCGTCCCAACCAGGTCAATGCAGCAGGTGTCCTCACTGACCTTCCAGCCGGAGGCGGATGGACTGATCTGTTGAACCGCAGCCTCCCTATGAAGCTCCGCTCTTCCACTGTGCCGCAGGTACTCGCCGATGGACTCTGGGAGGGACTCCACTCCCCGCCGCAGGGACCACTGGGCCCACGACTCATCAACAGACCTTTGAGCCAGAGGACCAGGGGGGACCACCGCAGTCGGACCTGAATAAAGCTCACAGGTTACAGAGCGGCCATTGGAGGAGTCATCCGCTGCCTCAACAACAAGTGACCTGGGGGGGGGGCTCATGCATACTGTCCCCGGCACGGAAGTCAACCGGAAAGAGAAACCAAAGAAGCGTACCTGAGCCCAGCAGCATGCCGAGCGTCAGGGAACCTCTGCGCTGCTCTGCGTGGTACAAGGCAGGAAAACAAGAGCGCACACTCAACTTCCTGCAGTCCCCTGCAAACACGCCACGACACAAACTGTCCACGGCGATGTCCGCCAGCTGCACACGCACACACACACACACACACACACAAAGGGGAAGAACATGTGACACAAAGTAGGTTACAGGGAGACAGAACAATAGAGGGGATCTATTGACCCACAGGATTCTTACACTCAGCACAAACCCAACCTCCAGCATTAGACTCTATAGCAGTACGTCTGCATATCACAGAGCACTCGGATTCGTAACGTTCTGACTCCCTCACCTCCTTCCCCAGCCTCCTGGAGACAAAGGAGTGGATGGACTCGTCTTCGCCCTTGCCCTTCCTCACCAGTATCTCCCCAGCAATGTTCAGCAGGAGGGGACGAGAGAAGGGCGGCACGGTCCGCAGAAGTCCACTGCGAAGACAAAAGAGGGGATGTCAGTCCCCGTCCGAGTGTCCCGTAGGAGGACGTGCAGCGCTCACAGCGGAACCAGCGGACCTCATTCCTGAAGGCATCCTGTGCAGCCGCCTGTTGACGTACACGTATCTGTTCTTAGAGGCCACGTGGCTGTAGGTGACTGGCAGAATCTCCCCCCCAAGACCCAGGTCCTCCACCTGCACACACACACACACACACACACACACACACACACACACACATTTTAATGCTGAAATTACTTTGAATGTCAGAAACGGAAGATGAGGGCATCCTGCTCGGCGTAGGGGGGTCCTGTACGTCTCAGGACAGATTTCCGTGTGTCGTCCGCTGTCTGAGAGGCTGCTCCATGTGCGTTGCGTACAGCTTTCAAAGAGGTGAACTTCTTAGTTCCTTCTAGTGTCCCTGTGGAAACATCTACATCTAATCGCTTCACTTTTAAGTTCCTGCTGGAGGAGCTCTTCGCCTCAGTCCCTCAAGTGGTTACGGCCGGCTTTTTAATACCAATCAATCTTACCTTTAAATGATTCACCGCTGCTTTCAAACTCACCATGTTGAGTGTGTTGCGTCCCACTGCCCCAGCAGGTCGGATCCCCCTGGGTCCGTGTTCAAACACCGCCCCATCGGACCTCCGGGTGGACCACAGCCAACCTCCCAAGCGGCTGCTGGACTCCAACACAACGACCTGGAGGAAAGAAAGGTGGGGCGGAGGGGATCAGCATGTGGGCAGGCGTTTTGTTTCATGGTACCACATACAAGTGTATGTCTGTATGTCTGCGTTACCTTGGTAACCTGGGGGCTCTTGCACAGGTAGTAGGATGCTGCCAGACCCCCCAATTCCCTCCTCCGAGGACTGCAACCGTTGTCATGGCTGACAGAGTGGCACAAAGCAGCTGGAGGGGGGGGGGGGGGGGGGGGGGGGGGAGAAGGCCCCCCACCAGGGAGGAGGGGGGGAGAGGGGGGGGGCGCCCTTTATATGGGGGCTTGGGTCTTAAACACAGTTTAGTTTTCTCCACAAAACCCCTTTTTATATATATGTAAAGGAAAAACTTTTATAAGGCGTCTCACTCCGTCGCCCAGATGTCGGTCCAACTGTCCATCTCTGCAGAAGACAAGGCTTCAGACTGAGGAGCTGTGCAGATTTTGATGCAGTTTTTGCTATTTCAAACTGCAGAAATAAGCTGTAGCTACGTGTCCATCTTCTCTCCTGCGTATCAGTATAATTTCCTGTTCTGGGCCCCTAATATTTACTCACAGAGGTCATATCTGGGACTTTCTTTTGTCTGTCTCTGCACTACATTGCTGTTTGCTTCTCATCCTGCTTGATCCACTTGAACATTTTCTTTGTTTCTCATTTTAATAAATTCTGTTTATAATATTATATATTCGTGCTTTGATGGATAGATATTTGGTTAGGGTGCAACTATATATTTTTGCACAGTGTTATTAATGTATAGGAACATACGGGTAAGTAGATAAATAACATACTTAATAGACTGATGAAACCACCTAAAGGACAACAGCTGTGTGTGGTACAAGACAGTGGAAAGTACCCGGATGGGGAGAGAAGAGCAGCTACTAACTATTCTTTATCTTCTGTCACTTCTGTTACTTAACGTGCGTAAGCTGCCTGAGGCTCGCGGTGTCACGTTCACAGACCGACGGCATCAAACACACTTCGCACGGACACGTGACGCTGACTTGGATGTGATTAACTAAAGTGAATTAACTCCATGAGGATGAAACTAGCGACGCGTGTTACCTCTGTTAGTGCGCGCGGGGTCCAGAGTGCTCGTGTCTCATTCGGCGGACAGTCCAGTTGTGTCATAACACCAACGCACACTACTTCCGTCCTCACTCTTTCAGATTAAAAGCATCATCTCGTTCTGGTGTTTGTAGGCATGCAGCAACAATGGCCAGGTGCGTTGTTGCCACCTACTGGTATGGAGTGTGCCCTGCAGTGGTGGACCGGTCTACATTTTACTACATTTATTCTCTGGTCTGTGAATTGATTATTAATAAAATAGTAATTACACAATTACAGTTTTCCTGCAGTGATTTTTATTGTGTGTTTAAAGTTATTATTTTGAGTGATAGAATAGTATCATAAAGGTACGAAAATCTCAACAGTGATGTGAAAGTTATCACTAACCCACACCTTGTTGTGAGCAATTCAATGTTGGAATAAAGGTTTCAAGAAAATAGTTTCTTCATGAAAATGCTGACAAGGACACCTTTTAGTTTTACTTCAGGTAATACAGTATATGATGGTACGCTGGCAGAGTTCAGGTCATAATATTGATTGAGAAACTTAGTACAAATCCAATTAAGGAACATTTTTTATGACACTTTTACCTTTTTTTTAACGATACTATACTTTCACTTTTGGCATACGGCACTTATTTCAGGACATTTACTTTTTTCCTCCTGTAGCAGACTTTTTAATGACATTTTCTTACATGCTCTACCATGACTTTTTGCGACCTATTATTCTTTTTTCAACCTGCTGTACTTTTTTTCATGTTCCATACTGCGACCTTCTTTTCTCTGAGTTTGACAAGCATCCTCTGGTTCCATCTTACATCTCGTCTTCTCAGCTCTTTCTGATGAGCTTCCTGGGGTTCTGCAAATGGTCAACTGCTCAAAAAACAAGAGCGCACACTCAACTTCTCAACTCAACTGCTCAAACTGAGACAAAAAAAACACATTGAAGACACACAATCATACAAATAATGAAGTCATGTCATATTCAAGTTCCCAGATGTGAAGAGATGGCAGTGTTCTTGAGGTCCACTTCTCCTTTCATCTGGATGTCCTGGACTCCATCCCCCCTGCTTCTCCTCCCCAACAACTGGAGTATTGTTCTCTCCTTACCAAAAAAGGGGACAAATGAGCTTGGTTGTAATTTCAGTCTCATGAACTCTGAAGTTCTGGACACCGGAGACAATGACTTTCTCAGGAAGTGTAAATTCCGATGAATGATGTCTGAATGACAGAGAACACCTGTGCTGGTGTGTGTGAAGCTTGTCTTCTCATCAGACGTCATCTATTGAGGCTGTAGTAAAAAATGTATGACAAATAAAACCACTCGTCTTCACATGGAACATAATTTAGTTTTAAGTAAAAACCACACATGACATGAGTGTAATACACGTGTAGGAAACGGTTACATAATAAAAATTAGCACTGGGAGGTGGAAAGTTTTGCTTTTTCATGAACATGACCAACATAAGCAGGATATGGACTAACCTTAAGACCCTTCAGTCACTTTAATTGCAATAAATTACATGAAAGTAATACATTGGTTTCCATAACAATTCAACCTTTCTTTCCTTTTGAGTTTGTCTCAATGATTTATTTTTTTATGGCCTTCTGCCCATCAGCGACAATCGTTTTCCTTCCTCCTGAAGTTGTGAAAACAATACATATGCAATCATTATTAGGGAGAGTGCATGTTGAAATTCAGCATGACCATTCATTTTGAAGCAGATACGAAGTCAATTGACAAGCGGACTATCATATATGACATTAATCAAAAGTAAAGATGTCTCTTTTAATGATGTAATGATGGACGTAGAATGACACCTCTCACTGGGGGAAGAAGCCAGACCTTGTGCGGGAGTAGGAGCTCAGTTGTATTGGAGTATCAGTTGGATCTGGTGGGCCTTACCTCTATGCACAGCCTCGGCTCCAGAACCGCACACATGGATGGGGGTGGACTCTATTCTACTGTTGTCACGGTGTAGTTTTATTTCCTGCCTTATTTTGTAGTTTCTGCTTCTTGTCTCCCTGGGTAACTTCACTTCCTTCCTTGTCCTGTCATCCCCTGTGATTGTCTGATTGTTTCCACCTGTGTCCAATCACCTGCACCTCCCTAGTGTATTTAAGCAGTGTGTGTCTCTTGTCACTTGTCGCGTCATTGTCTATGGTCCTGGATGTTCCTCGTTCCTGCCTGCCTTTTTGCCCCCTGTTCCTGTGTGTGTTTTTGCCCGTTGGCCCCTTTGCTTTTTGCCTTTGTACGATTAAAGTCTCTTTTGTTTAAGAACTCTGCATTTTGAGTCCTGCCCTCCCACGCACCCCTGACAAAATGACGAGACCACTTAAGGACTCAGCAGAGTTTTTCCCCGGGAAGAGTTCAGGAGAACCCGTCTGGCTATGGGCAGTCCACGCAGTCTCCAACGGGCCGCCCGTAGTGGGGTTCCCGGCGGATCACGCTGGGAGTGCGTGACGGACCTCGCCGTCCAGCTCCAGGCCTCCTACGCCCTCCACGCTGGGCCGCAGCGCACCAAGTCCCGCGCTGGGCCGCAGCGACCTCCCAACCCCGCTCGGCCGCAGAGCAGAGACTTCCGCGCTGGGCCGCAGCGGCCTCCTGATCTGGCCCCGAGACTATAGGCCCCGACCCTGGTTCTGGCCCAGCGGCCTCCTGATCTGGCCCCGAGACTATAGGCCCCGACCCTGGTTCTGTCCCAGCGGCCTCCTGATCTGGCCCCGAGACTCCAGGCCCTGACCCTGGTTCTGGCCCCGAGACTCCAGGCCCCAACCCCGGTACCACCCCCGAGACTCCAGGCCCCACCCCGCCAGTACCGGCCCCGAGACTCTCAGCCCCGACCCCGCCAGTACCGGCCCCAAGACTCGCAGCCGCGACCCGACCAGTACCGGCCCCGAGACTCATGACTCTGACTCGACCAGTACCGGCCCCGAGACTCACGGGCCACAATGGGTTGTAAAATTTGACGGAAGAGCCGGGCCAAGAACAAGTGTTTGTGTGAGCTAATATAAATGACATGTGAAAAATCATTACATGTAACGGACCGTCTCATCCAGCCGAGGAAACGCTGCCTGCCGTCGCCAGAGAACAGAGCAGAAAGGTCAGCGTGGATCTCTGCTGGCCGACAGTCTGTTAAACGGATCTTCATGTTTCTCTGAAGCACCGCGGCTTCAGCCTGCTAACAGTCAGCTAAACCTAGACAGCTGAGCTAAAATAAGGAAGCGCACATTCAAACTCGCCGCAGCGTAAAATAGTCGTCACGGTCCGTGTGAGCGAGCGTTCTGGGTTCGTGGATGACGCGTTAATATCCGCCGTACGGGGGACGTACTTTTCCCGTCAGGTGCGTGCGATATTAGGGGGAAAAAAGTATTGTGACTTCGTCAACCACCAACATTTTCGTCTCGTCTCGTTAACGAAAGTTAGAATAGATTTAGTCATAGTTTTTATTTTTTAAGTTAAACCTCCTTGAAAGACCAGGGTGTGCCTCTTTTGTGTGCAGCCCACAACAGCGATTGGCCGGAAAGAGTGTGAGCCACTCAGCAGATGGCAAACTCTGCACAGGTGGACTCCAATCACCTCCATTACCTCTGGATCCGGGAAGCACCTGCAAGACAAGGGGGAGGGACAGAACAACACAGAGGAAAAGCTCTGCAGGCATGTAACAATGTTATTACTAAGTCATTGGTGTTTGTCTATGAAGTCGTATAAAGTATTTATTTTCACCCATTCAGATATTAAACTGTCAGTTGTACAACCTAGGCATTTCAACAATATTGACCAACAAGCAAAATGTTATCTATCCATCCATCCATCCAACTTCAGCAGCCTATCCGGGGTCAGGTTGCGGGGGCAACGGCTCCAGCAGGTGACCCCAAACTTCCCTTTCCCGGGCCACATCTACCAGCTCTGACTGGGGGATCCCAAGGCGTTCCCAGGCCAGTGCAGAGATATAATCTCTCCACCTAGTCCTGGGTCTTCCCCGGGGCCTCTTCCCAGCTGGCCGTGCCTGGAACACCTCCCTAGGGAGGCGCCCAGGGGGCATCCTCACCAGATCCCCAAACCACCTCAACTGGCTCCTTTTGACGCAAAGGAGCAGCGGCT